ATTTCTCTGGCTCTGTAAATTAACAATCAGACTTCAAATATTTTAAATTAAGGTCAGTATATTTTGGCTCTCAAATACTAATGAACTTAAGACATTTCTTTATTCTTTATATTTCACAGCACTTTCCAAATACAAACATCTTTGATATATTCCTTTGATGAAAGGCTTAAAGACATTCCTTCCACCAAAGAGAAGCAGGTATCTTAGCAGCAACTTGTAACACTTTATGACCAATTAAACAAACACAAGTTATGATTAGAGAAGCAGGAACTAAGTACAAGAGCAAAGTGTAAACCATTACAATTTTACTGGAGTTTTTTCAGTATTCTCTTATTGAATGTGTTATAGCATCCTCCTGTGACACTGGAATCATTCACCTGAGGAACTGGAGCTCCCAACGTGTACTGGTACTAAACTTTAAATAGGCTTTTATGCTTAAAAGCATCGCTACATTATCACAGCACTTAGGGAGACAGATTCAAGGGAAGTTTCAAAATGATCATTCTTGTTATTCCAGGTCACTGCAAGTACAGAGGAGGTATCATGGAGCTTTGGCTTCAATCCAGATTACACCTTTAGTCTATGAGGAAATATGAACTTTAAGCATACTCAACAGAACTCTTCTTTCCTCTGAAAAAACTCAAAACTATTTATACCAGTAGGGTTTACCAAACAGAGTTGGGTGCCAGGGGTGGGGAGGAAGGTGAAGAGCAAAATATTTTCTAAAATGTTCCAATCATTTGGCTAGTCACAAAATTTCAAGGCAATTACTATTTACTCACTTAAGAAAGTTTTATGTAAATCAGCTACTACTGACATATTCCACAGAAACATTTGTAATATCCAATCCTTCCTTTTATAAAATCTCCTAAGTACACTTTAAAAACAAACAATTACTCTAGAGAAGAACCCAGCACAAAGCTGAACCTTACTCTTAAGATGACAACTGAAATAAAGATTAACTTGAGAAAAGTCTATTATTAAAAAGCTGAAAATTATTGGCTTTCTATGAGTGATATTATTACATTAAAACCTTTGTGAAAGTACTCAAATGTAACTATTTAATGAATTTTATTTAGAGATGTAATTAATTTCCAACTGAAGAAAGATTACAATGGACAAGTAATAAGTATTAACTCATTTTGTTAAAGGAAAAAGGGATGCTTTTTCTCTATTTATTTTTTATTGGAGTATAGTTGCTTTACAATATTGTGTTAGTTTCTACTGTACAGCAAAGTGAATCAGCTATAACGTATACATATACCCCCTTTTTTTGGATTTCCTTCTCATTTAGGTCACCAAAGAGCATTGAGTAGAGTTTCCTGTGCTATACAGTAGGTTCTCATTAGTTATATATTTTATACATGGTATCAATCCCAATCTCAAAAAGGGATACTTTTTTAAAAACTACAACCTTTGGGTCTCAGTGCTGAGATGTAGAATGTCCCAACTGTCAGATTTAAACACACCTTAAAATCAGGTAGAACAAACTATATTGTTTATATTATTTTTATTTTCTGTATATTGTGATGTTTTGACATCTTAAAAAACCTTTCTGGCTAGCCAATTCTTAGAGATAGCAGGGGGCTAAGGTGGGAGCATGGCTTTGATATGCAAATTAACCACACCAGGCCATACCTCCTCTATCTGGCCCCTCCATCCCAGGAGACAATATTCCTCTGCCTTAATCATCCAAGGAGCTCGATACTAGGCAACTAGGAACTAACTCTCTATAGTTTACGGCCCACTGAAATCATTCAGACTAGCCAGTCCTAAACTGTTCACCCTGCCCTGCCATTCCCAACAGAAACCCCAATACAGGCTCTAGCCTTGGTGTTCCGCTGTACTCTTGCTTTCTGCCCTCTGACCACCCTGAGGCATCCCTGGTGCCCCACCCAGAGGTGTGGCGTGCCTCCTGTTTCTAGGACCTGTGAGGACAATAAACTTCTGTTTTCCCAAGCCTCTCCTGTGTCTTCTCTTGCAGGGCTGCACCCGACCGACCATCACAGAACACAGAATCCAAACAGTAGGGCAATCTATGTTTTTTATATACAATTGTTTTTAAGTTGTATGCACATTAAAAAACTGAGTTTTAATTACTAAACAGATTTTTTCCCCCTGAGATTCTTGTACACATTGGTATATAGGAAAAAAACCCTTTCTCCACTAGTATGGATTAACTGAAGGGTGCATTTCTGTCTACTTTGGAATCCAATCACCTTAATTTTGCCATTATTTTCCTAAATTTATCTCTGGCATAAAGGATACCATCTAAAATGAACATGGCTTATAAGTAAGAATAGAAATTAGATACCCACCTGTGAAGGTGTACTGGTAAGTTCCATCTTTTCTTGAGATTTCTCCTTGGCTAGTCGAGCAGCTTCTTTAAATTCCTGAAACTTTTCTGCAAACTGAATGTAGAAAGACTATATACATTAATCACATAAAAATAGGTCTTAATGCCCACTTTCATCTTAGTTTTCTTCCATTTTATGGAATAACAGACTCTTACACAGCAACTTAGCCCTCAAATCAATTACAGGCATAATATGAAAATGACAGGAAAATAAACCTAATATCAAACATTTGCGCACTATAAAGTACTCTGACAGATCTCATTAGAAAAAATCATGATGGGGCTTCCCTGGTGGCGCAGTGGTTGAGAGTCTGCCTGCCGATGCAGGGGATGTGGGTTCGTGCCCCGGCCCGGGAAGATCCCACATGCCACGGAGCGGCTAGGCCGGTGAGCCATGGCTGCTGAGCCTGCGCATCCAGAGCCTGTGCTCCGCAACGGGAGAGGCCACAACAGTGAGAGGGCTGCGTACCGCAAAAAAAAAAAAAAAAATCATGATAAAACTAAGTTAGAATTTGGTTTCAGCTAGCTTAGTTTTGTCTCTCCTTGGTTGTTCAGATATACTTCACTAAGACAAAGGTGTGGGGTACAGGTTGGGAGTGGAATCAGTAAAGATGGGCATACTACGTTTGTTTCTCATGGAGAAAACTAAATCGCTTAAGTGTCCACTCCTAATCATCTCTGTATCTGGAGCATGCTTTTAACTTTTACTAGAATATAAACTCTTGTATTATGTAAGGCATTTTATTTGCAGCAGTACAAACAGCAACGTTTACCACTGTCACTAACTGACATTACTAAAACTTCATTTCCAAAGATTCCTAAACAGCTAATGCACAGCAGCAGAAAGGAAAAGCAGGACCCCACAAAGGTCTTTAAGATTGGTAACAATTTTAAAAAATTACTTTATATGAAATGCTAACTCTTTGGAACCCATGGTAATCAAATAAATGTCATGGCCACAAACAGTATCTATTTATGAACTGGAAGTGGAAACCAGTCTGCCACTGTTCTCAGAGAGAATAAGGCAAGGCTACAAAATAACCAAATTTAAAAAAATCTAAAATCTTTGTGCAACTCAAAACATCTGTTATAGCTAGCAATAAAAATATGAAATTATAGGTCCCTCTTCGAACCCCATAAGCCAACCCTGATTTCATTGCCATCTTGGGAAGGAAAGCTTTGTAAGGAAAGGCTCATGATACTCTGACCTGCCAACAGGGAGATGGAGGAGGGTCAAAATTAAAGTTGTCATTATTACAACTTTCCTTCTTAAACACTGTTACCCCCACCTACAACTTGTAGATCAGGAAACTGAATCTGTATTATTATACTTATCTAATTAAAGAGCATATCTCATTACTGTAAAAAAAAAAAAAAAAGTCTGAATATAGAGCTAAAAAGGTCTCATTCACATTGTTGGAATTGAAATAAAAGCAAAACCATAATTAATTTCTCTTTATGTAATTTGAAATAATACACAAAGTTTTTCTTACACTAATTTGGCATTCCAAAGTAGTTAATGTTTAAAATTCTTCTCAACTTCATAAAGACCCATGCTGTTGCTAATTTTTATAGGTTTAGGTTTCCATGATAACAAAATACAACTTGGTAAGTACTCTAACAATCCAAGCATAGTTGGAATTTTCCTCATACATCAACCTTAGGAGACCAGAAATTTCTTTCAATGCTGCTGCTCTCTCATATTTTGAGAGTACCTTGCCTAGAATTGCCTTCAGAGCCTTCTCCAAACTCTTACAATGTTTCATTTCATGTATGATTTTAGTGACAAAACAAGCCAGAATATTTACAGGCTTGCTTCACTTATGTAAAAGATGATGTACTCCTTTGGGTCCCTTATAGTTTACAAAGCACTGACATTAATCTTCAAGGTAGCTTGGAAAATAAGTCATGATTTTGTGATCTTTGGACCAAAACATTCTGAAGAGACTGATCATAAGCTCTTAGAGCCAAGTCTAGTGAATAAACAAACTAGAGCTGGCTCCAGGAGCTACTGAGTTGTTTCCTAATGGTTAATCCACCCTCACAATACAATACTAGAATTCGCTACCAGTTTGGTCAAAAGCATATGCTAACTTTAAAGAGGAAAAATAAAATTCTTTAACTATAAAAGCTATTCTTAGAAAAAAGATCAGATAAGAGGAGACAATATGAGTGACAGAATTTAATAAACTATTTCTTTGCCACATTAACTATCTGCCCAGTAACTTGAAAGATGTAGTAAAAAAACAACAACTTAATATAGTCAAAATTACTTAGGCTCAAAAATCATTTCATGCAGGTTTGAGAAATTAATCCACAATTTAGTTCCTTTGTTGTCAAGAAATTCAGCAAGTGTAATATAATGATAGTTTTAATGTTTTTGCTATAGGCTTTAATAGACAATTTCAAAAGAAAATTTCCAAAAAGGTTCTGAGTAACGGCAAAAATATTAGAATAAATGTGTAATTTCCTAAGGGGATTGTTTATGGAGGGACAATGCTTAACTCGATGCCTGTGTCCCTGCTATGTTGAAATACTTTAAGTCTAAAACTCATAACTTTACCATAGCTCAAGAAATATATTTAGAGAATATAATGGGTGTAAGAGAAATGAAATCAGTTAACACTTGTTTGTTTTAATCACCTTACAGAGAATGACTTATAATCATCAAGACAAAAGTTAAAATAGTTGTAAAATTGAGCTTTCAACTCTAATTTATATCAAAAAGATAACAAAAGCACTTGAAAACAACAGTGTTAAGGAAAGTTTACAACTGAAACAAAAGGAAAGAAAGATTATTTTAACTACTGAACTATCTAATTATAACTTCAAGTCAATAAATATTCACAAAAGTGTAAGATTTTTTAAAAGAAATAATTTTTAAGAATCTCAATGATTTCTATAACGAACAGCTTAGGTTTCACTTCAGTATTAATGGTGTATATCTAACAAGAGCCAGATTACCCTGCACTTGAGCTATTTCAACTCTCAAGCCATCAGATCCTATGTATACCAAATCATACATAAAATATGGTTCAAATGTAGGGCTATTCTTTTAACTGAATGCTTCAAACAGAAGTTTTAAGCATAACTCTTTGGGTCTGGTGAGCATCAAATGTGAAGGGTAAAAGTGAGTAATCCTCATCTCCTTGATCATCTTGTTATCCTGAGATTGTTTCCTTTTCCTTATAAACTCTTTCTTTGTGACATCCACAAGAACTCAGGATGCTGCTGGTATGAACACTGCATGGCTTTTGTTTATATGCAGGAAAACTGTTTTATTTCCAGTATTTAGCCTGGTGATGCTCTGTATTTTATCAGCCATTCTAGCCACAGTAATTTACTTGGTCAGTTCCGAGAACTCCTCACGGTGTCTCTTAGATCTTACTCTGTGTTGCATCAGAGGCCTCAGAGTAATTCTCACCCAGACAAAGCACCACTTTCCTAAACAGTAACTTATATGTGCCTGCTATTATGTCTGAAATATCACTATCAGCTTGAGTTTTCACAATTCAGAAGCGTTTGGTGTCTACCTATCTTACAGAACATCAACCAAGGGTGCTAACTCCCGAGCAAAGTCCATTCTGAAGTGATAATTCCCACATTTTATTTCCTATCATACCTAGTTAACCACAAAAACCCTCCTCAATCAATGGTGACTGTTTTTAATGTACACAATGTTTCCAACTGACAGTGGGATCCACTGATCTCTCACTTCTTGCTCTGCTGTCACTACAGTTGTTCTGAAAATACCAAAGAAATTTCTCCTACATTTTATACTCTCCATTTTCTATTATATATTTAAGACGTCTGATTTGAAGATGTAGATTTCCACTCAGATCTTATGTTTTAACTTACTTTCGAAAGATGATGCTCAGAGGAGAACCCCAGTCCATAAACAGTGTTTGCCCTGCTATCAGCCCACTGGCCAAACTTCTGAGATGTTTTAGTAAATGTCATGTTTGGGGTGATGGTGCTGTTAATTATTGCCTGAAAAATAAAACAAGTATGAGTAACCAGCCAAAAATTCGCAAATAGGCATTTAAGCACAGGACTATTCAGATACATAAAAACTCAGGACTCCTATTGAGCCACAATGTTAAATATATAAAGAGAGTTAGAGAAACAGTTTTTAACATTATAAGTGACTGTGGCAATATGGTAATAAGAAAACTATAAGTATAATGGCACTCTACTATAAATTTCAATACTTTACAAGCAAAATAAGTTTTCCTGTGATGCAAAAACTTTTAAAGAGTTTTTAATGTGGTCAGTGTCTTCTCTTTGAACATTTAGGATCAATATCTATGAATTTTGGATGATATTCACCAGAAGCAAGTAGGTTTTAATAGTTGTTTATTTAAAAAAGTAAGGACCCCTCTCCAAAGAATCTTTCAAAAATAAAGGCAGCAATAGAACAAATTTTCTATTTGATCACTATTTTCTAAAATCCATCAACAAGAATTTTCTTAAAGCCAACTTACCTGAAATATACTGTGATACAGAAAAAACTTTCGATCCTTTAGTAAGTTTTCCTTTACTCAAGAGAAAAACAAACCCTTAAATATACACTTTGCTTCTTTACATAAAGTCGTATAAAATCATGGTAATGAGAATCACTATCACTTCTGTTTATAACATAGTTTCTTAGAAAACTAGTCTTTTAGTACTTTATTAAATATTAACTTTGCTGATCACTTTAATAAACTTCAACTACTCTTTAACACATTAATTTCAGTTCGTTCATCCCCTCTGCCAGTACTATTAAGGTATACAATCAGTTTTAGTTAAGTAGTCTAATGACTCTGTAACTGAGACTGAGATTACAAAGTGATCCCATAATAATAAACAGATACATTATCAAATCCATAAGCAGTTATTTGGTGAACTATTAAATGTGGAATAAGAATCAAGCATTCCAGAACAAAGCAAAATCTGTACACCACATGAACAACAGTAAAAACGTAAATATTTATGAGCTATGCAGGTACTGATGAAGTTATAATGAATGTATGACATTTGTCCTACTAAAGTAGACAGTAAGAGAGTGGTGGCTTGCCTTCTCTCACAGACAGTAGACATGTTATCTGACAGTAGACACGTTATCTGTTGTTACATGAGAGCCCTTACTCTCTATAAGCATTTTCACCTCCGACAAAATTTATACACTAATATACTGCCTTACCCTTTGGTCCAAAAGCTGTTTTTCCTGGCATGTCATTTTAGATCCTGTAAAATGTAGCTAACAACTGCTCTAACATGCAGGGTTGTCATCAAATGAAAGACTGAGTGGGAAAGAATATACTAACGAATGGTAAGGACTCGTTTGGATATGCAACTTTTCGCGTGTGCAAATACCTACTAAATGCCAAGCACAACTCTAGGAATTTGAGATACAACAGTGAGAGCAAGAAGAGTCAGTCACTGAACAAGTAAACAAGTAGCTGACCAATGAAATTTCAGAGAGTGGTAAGCGCTGTGAAGACCACAGACCAGGATGGGATCAAGACTGAGAGGCAGAAAGGCAAGGGCTGGCCAGAACTACTTTAGATTTGGTGGTCCTTGAGTGTTCCCTGAGGAGGGTACATGTACATGTGAGCTGGGATGTGAGTGTTTCCAAGGAGAGATGGGCATCTTACAGGTGACCCTAACAACTCTCACATAGTGAGGCGACCACGGGCTTTATAAGGCATGGAAAACGTGTGACTCATGAGTTGCCGGTCACTGACCTTCTGGTTTGGCTATTTCAGACTAACTTCTTTCTGCTTTTATGTTTAAGAGTTCCATTTTAATCCCCATTCTGAACCTTTCCTTGCCTCCATATGACTTGTTTTGGGATTCTTTAATCAGTGAATAAAACTTTAAAATAATAGATGATTCTGCACTTAAAATTATTTATTAGAATTCTTAAAATAGAATGCTACTATAAATCCATTTTTTTTAATTTTTAGTTCTTTAAAATAAATATGTCTCTCAATCCCATAGTTCTTGTCTTTTCAAGGAAAAGAAGTAGAAATGCTGTGTCATTACCAACCATATAGTGCCCTGATCCTGGCCCTTGGCCATACTGACGTCTCTGCAGCAGGATTAGAAAATCTTCAAGCAAACTTGACATGCACAGAAAAGGCCTTAAGTGAGAACAAATGGATATTTTCTAATCAGGGGCACCTAAGGTTTTCCCAACTCATCATGTTGTGCAGAAATAGAAGTGAGGGTGGGGAAAAGAAACCCACCCATTTAGCTGCATCAAATAAACCACTACTGCTTACCAAAAAACTACTCCTGCAGGAAACTGCAATAGTTAATAGCATCAGTTCAGAAAAGTAACTAGAAAATGGAAAATGTGATAGAAAATATAACTCCAGTACAGAGAGTAGATTTTATTAAAAGAAACAAAAAAACTTTTTCACAAGAGTTATATAAGAGCCTAATAATTACAAGCTACAAAGTAAATTCAAAAATGGAAATGACAGAAGCAATAGTTCATACTGCTTCAGGAGAAAAACACATGAGGATTATTTAATCACAATGGACTTGGGCCTACTTTACTTTTATATATCATTTAACTGCCCTCTCTAATAAAACCACATCTTATCCATGGTTTGGGCCAAGAGAGAAATACAAATTACAGAGAATTGAAGGATCAAGTCAGGGAAAAGAAATAAATTAACACTCTAGGGTCTGAGATTATAGTAATTAATATCTGTTAATTTCACTAAACAGTTACAAAATGTGGCAAAATTATTCTTCATTTAATAAAGCTTCAGATAAATTAACTATTGCTATTTCCCAAGCCCCATAAATCCTGAGTAAAAATGAAAAGAGGATCAATTATTCAAATAAATACATGTTAGTCACTTATGTACAAGACAAAGTGCACATAGCCCCTGGGGTCCTATAATCCAGTTAAGGAGATAAGGAATGAGCACATAGAAAAAACAGACTGAAAGTTCAGCATTAAATTATCTTTGATTCCCCCAAACTACTAGGCAATACATATTAAAAGCTGGGGGCTTCTCTGGTGGCGCAGTGGTTGAAAATCTGCCTGCTAATGCAGGGGACACGGGTTCGAGCTCTGGTCTGGGAGGATCCCACATGCCGCGGAGCAACTAGGCCACAACTAATGAGCCTGCACGTCTGGAGCCTATGCTCCGCAACAAGAGAGGCCGCAATAGTGAGAGGCCCGTGCACTGCGATGAAGAGTGGCCCCCGCTTGCCACAACTAGAGAAAGCCCTCGCACGAAGACCCAACGCAGCAAAAATAAATAAACTCCTACCCCCAACATCTTAAAAAAAAAAAAAAAAGCTGAATAATATTAATAATAACAATAGCAGTAAGTGTTTGCATAGTGATTACTATACACACTTTAAGTGCTTTTGCCTAAATTAATTTATTTAATCTTCACAATAATCCCACGGTGTAATGATGCAGTTATTTACATTAGTTCTTTTTTACAGATGAGAAAACTGAGACATGAAGACATTAAATATCTTGCTCTAGGTCACATGGCTAGTAAGTATTAAAGTGAAAATTCAAACCAGATGGTCCAGCTTCAGAGTTTGTGGTCTTAACTCTACACTGAACTGTGAAAATTTCCTAGGAATTATCTACATGTATTATTCAAAACTCATTGAGGAAAAAATGGAACTTCCCCCCTATTGAAGGGTATACTCCATCAGGCACTGAGGTAACCAAGTGCTTTGTAGATACCAACTCAATCCTTACAACTACTACTGAGGTGAGAACAATGAAACTCAGAGAAGTAAACACATAATTTGCCCCAAATCAAAAACTTCATAGATGGTAGAATTGAGATAGAAACCCAGGCAGTCCATGCTCATAAGCATTTTACTATCTGCCTCTCCTAACAAATAAAAACAGGTCTTGTCCATACGCTTCTCTTCTGAATAATGGAGGTCAGCTTTATTATTGAATACTGAACTCAATATTGAAAGACTTCCTATGATTTAGGGATTCTGAACTGCCTACTAGACTGTAGAAGTATATCTGAAAAGAAGTCTAGTTCCTCACTAGATTACATGCTCCAAGAGTAGAAACTGTGTCCGTTCTGTTGAAAACTATATTCCTAGCACCTAACACAGTGCCTGACACAACAGATATGCAATGAATATTTATCAAATAAACTGACTTCAAATTTGTAGAATATTTTGGCATGTAACTCAATATATATATAAGGTGGTTAATCCAAGTAATTTAGGGGATGAAAAAGTTGCTACCCTAAAAATGATCAATTTTGTTTTTTAAAAGGTAAGTTTTTAAAGCTCAAAAGAAAGTATTTTATTTTAATGAAGATAAAAATCTTCTGAATAAAACAGAAGTGTATACTATATAAAGCAAAACAGCAAGGTTATTTAATGTAAATGTAACTTACCTTTGAGCCATCTAAACTGATTATCCTATACACGTTTCTTGTGCTGTCATAGAAATAAGACACAGTAACTGCGTGCTTGCTGGTGGGTACCCAGTTCTTCTTTGTGTTTGGGTCGATCTGGAAGACATGAGCTCGAGTGCTGAAGATGGGTTGTTCCCTGTAGGGGAGAAAACAAAATGACAGGATGAAAGCAGCCACTTTTACTCCACTGGACAATAGAACATGAAAACTGTATGATTCCACTTACCCAAAAATTCCCACATCCTTGAAAATAAGAGAAACTTTCTTTTAAATTTGAATACTCAGTATTATAACCTTCTTTAAAACAATTACAGTCAATCCTTATTATTTGAAGATTCTGTATCTGTGATTTTGCCTACTCACTAAAATGCATTTGTAACCCCAAAATCCATACTTGAGGTACTTCCTTGGTCTCTTCCAGTTACCTGACATGTACCTTTCCACCTGAGGTTGATCAAGGTAGCACTCTGCCTTCTTGTTTCAGCTCTCATACTATAAACAAGTGTTCTTTTTGCAATCTGTTTAGCACCATGAAGTCTGCATTTTTGTGCTTTTTGTTGGTGCTTTCACTGTTTCAAATGGCCCCCAAGCACAGTGCTGAGTGCTGTCTGTTCCTAGATGTAAGCAGACTGTGATGTGCCTCATGGAGAAAAAATGTTACATAAGTTTTGTTCAGGCATGAGTTACAGTGCTTTTGGCCATGAGTTCAACGGTAATGAATCAACAATATATATTAAATAGGGTGTCTTTAGATAGAAACATACATCAAACAAGGTTATTATTGATTGGCTGATGAAAATGTTGTGACCAGAGGCTCACAGGAATCTAACACTGTGTTTCCCTCCGGACAATGGTTCAACACTCATTAATTCAGTGTTTGTGGTGCCTTTATAGAACAAAACCACTGTAAATAATTAGAATTGACGATATGCTGTTTAAATACAAGTATCTTACATGTGACTCTCACTAAGTTAAAAGTTTTTACCCATTTAAAAACTACATTATTCTGGTAACAGGTAAAGAATTTACTGGGAAAGTTTACTTTCAATATAATCTCTACTATACTGAAAAATATAAGGAAAACAAAGTAGCCCATCATCACAGTATCTTTTACTTAGATCAAGTAAGGCCTTAAAGATAAATAGAGGTTTTAAAAATTATAATTTCAAGAATCAAAACTTATCAAAAATATATATTCAAAATATGATCATTACAGATTTCTTTTACAGTCTGAAAAAACAAGCATGAGATGATCTGTATGTGATAGAAGCATTATAAGGCAAAATTTTCCAAGTTCTCAGTAAGAATTCTCTTGTAAAGAGCATTTACCAAAAATTTTTTTGGAGTCCAAATGTTTCTTTCATTTACATAACACTTTTCTTTCCTAAAGCAGCTTAAGGTCCTAAAGAAACTTTTAACTGGTATTATATATATAATGTTAAAATTAAGTAAGTTTAAATTTTTTAATTTTAAAGAATTAAAAATGTTTTCCAATTTTAAATTTAAAGAAGGGAAAAGAGAGTATGGAAAAGAGTGAAATTAGAAAACAGGCAAGGCAAATTTTGGTCTTTGGCAAAATTTTTCTTCAGATTAATAATAATGGGCTGGGTGTCACATATGTCTCCTATGACTTACTTTAGCCCTTAGAGAGCTATTAGGAAAGGGAGGTACCTTCCCTGTATGTAACTGGGCTCTTCCCAGTTTCATTTCTGGAAACCACCATAACAACTGTTCTTATTAAAGAATCACTTTTGAAAGGAAGTGAGCGATACATTTTATGCCCCTCCCTAAAAAATGAAGCAGAAAGTCATCACTTCTGGCTTAACTGCTATTATACATGGGTTCATTCAGCAAATAATTATTAATAATCTGGCAAGGCGCTATGCCAGGATACAGAATTCTTCCAAATTAGGAGTAGGCCCTATTCATTCCTTTTCCCCATCCTCAATCCTTGACTTTCACAGTAAGGCTGGTGCTACATTTGGGTTATCGTCCAAAAGCCCTGCAACCTCTGCTTTTCTTTTTTTTCCACCTTTTAATTAAAGTTCAGTGACTGCAGCTAGTTCCAATTCACAGGGAAATTCATTCACACAAAATTCTAATTTTTAAGACACATAAGGAAGGGAAGTGGGCCATTCTTGGCTCTACTGACTTGATAATATTTTTTTCATTTGACAGGGGATAAATTTCTAGATAGCGTAGGCTGATAATTATAAGAATGTGTTCTAATAAATGTATTTTCCAAAAAAGTAAAATTGTTAAGACAATGATATTGCTTTTGCACAAGCCTTATATGACAAATCATCAAATCCTTATTCAATGGAAGTGCGATGTTTTGAGTCCAATAAATACTTTCCACACCATATTAATTCACACAGTGTAACTAATCTGCACAATTATTCCACACAATGTAATTCCATTCTGAATAAAAACCTTTAGGGTAAACTAGCTATTTTACAAGCAAATAACATCTGACATCAACTAAATACGCTGTTTTCTTCAATTCTTTTCTGAATAGCTGATTTCTTAAAGAAAGTTATAGTTCATTCAAAGAAAAAAAAAGTTGTAGTTCAAGATCTCTGTTGTTAAAGGTCTAGCCATCAACATCTGGATGATAAAGACTAGGGAAATAATTTTACAGCTGATACCCAAGGAAGAGAATTCCTAGAAGTAACGAGGATGTTACTACATCTGTCAGGGCATACAAGCAGATGATTCACCCTTTTATGGAATATCTACTACATGGTAAAAACAGAGAGAGATGGTCTTTGCCCTTGAAAAGTTCAGTCTGGTGAGGGAAGACAGATATGTTAAACAAATAATATGCCCTTCACCATGATAGAGTCTCTGAAAATAAGTGGGTAAAGGCTACTGTGGAGAAACTGATGCCTAAGGAGAGTCTGAAACCATGGCACAGTGGTTAGAGGGCATAGTACTTAGGCATGTGTAGCAAGAACCTCAGTGAGTATGCGTGCCTTTGAAGAATGAGGCTAGAGATAGAGAAGCCAGTTCATGAGGGTACCCACTGGAATCTACTGAGAGATGTAAATAGGAACAGCTTTGCATTTTAGAAAGATAAATTTAGTAGCACTGAAAAGGGTGGGTTGAAGGGAAACAACATTGGACATAGGGACACTAGTCAGAACCTTACAAAGGATCCCAAATACTAAAAAAATAAAAAGAATAGGAGGTTAGGGAGTGGAATAAAGACATGAGGAGGGGTTAAAGGTAAATTTAGAAAGTAGAATCAATAAGATAAAGTAACAGTTTGGATGTAGGGCAGTGGTTTATCAAACAGGGGTGAGTTGTCTCCCAGGGGACATTTTACAATGTCTGGAGACGTTTTTGGTGGTCACAACGGAGGGAGATTGCTACTGGCTTCTAGTAGGAAGAAGGGTGTTGCTGAACATCTACAATGCACAGGACAGCCTCCTACAACAAAAAACTATCCAGCCAAAAATGTCAACAGTGTCAAGGTTGAGAAATCATGGTGTAGGAGATGAAGGAGGAATCTGAGTCTCCTGGGCTTCTGGTCTGGGTGACTGAAAAGAAGACAGTGCCACTAGGCAGTGTGGTAAACAGAAAATAAAATCTGGAACAGGGGGGATGGTGAGGGAAAGGATGAGCTCAGTTTTGACCAAGTCCTGATGCCTATAGGGTTTGCATGTAAAACTGTCAGGAAGGGAACTTAAAATGTTAGTTTGGAGCTCAGTAGAGAAAACCAGGCTGGAGTGAAAAGTTTTGGGAATCATCAAGAGAGCTTATCTCGTCTGTTTAAGGTACATTTCAACATTAAAATGGAAAAATTTCATTTTAGAGAAAAGCTGTAGAAGCAGCAGTAGAGAAGCTATACCCGAAATCTTAAAGCACTTATCTCTTAAAGGATCTGAAAAGCATCTGACGCTGATTATCCCAAGTGTTCAAGTGCTAATACGTTTTCAAATAAACTGGATGGCACTCATAAATAAAGGTTAGACGCACTACTTCCTTTATAACAATTCACACAAAACTAACTGCGTCAAATACCAGCGTTTTCCAAAGTATGTTCTATGGAACAAAAGTCCTATGAGTGTTCCATACTTATATAAGTTCTGCAAACACCTACATGTTCCACTCTGAAACATTTATAATGCACGTTAATATATTAAAGGTTCTGAGAAGTCTTGCAGTAAAGAAACCCATTTAACCCTGAATAACCCAGCATGCAGCAAAGTGATCTGATCCTAGAATTCTTTTTCACGTAACACAGTAACATCTCATAGGACTTACATTTATAGCCACAATATGAGAATCAAAAGATAAATTTTGAGGTAAACACATCTCACTGAAAGCCAATCTGTATATTCTACCATCTTTATTGACATTACTGTTACTAGAATATATATATATATATGGCATAATACAAAATTGAGGCATTAGTCATGACTACAGTATTATTTCTTAAGCAGATATAATGACACAAAGTAATTCTCCTAAGAAATTAAACATTAATCTAAAAATCAATTTTGAAAGCAAATAGATTTTTGCATGAAATGCTTTAAACTAGCTTAGAGAAACAAAACTAAACACAGAACACACAGAGAGAGACACACACACTTCAATCCTAGAGAATCATCTACTTTGTAACTTCTTACATCAATAGTCAAGACAGAACTTCCCTGGTGGCGCAGTGGTTAAGAATCCACCTGCCAACACAGGGAACACGGGTTCGAGCCCTGCTCCAGGAAGATCCCACATGCCATGGAGCAACTAAGCCCATGCGCCACAACACCTGAGCCTGTGCTCTAGAGTCCGTGAGCCACAACTACTGAGCCCATGTGCCACAACTACTGAAGCCTGCCTGCCTAGAGCCTGTGTTCCTCAACAAGAGAAGCCACTGCAATGAGAAGCCCGTGCGCCACAATGAAGAGTAGCCCCCGCTCACTGCAACTAGAGAAAGCCCGCATGCAGCAACGAAGACCAATGCAACCAAAAGAAAGAAAGAAAGAAAGAAAAATTAAAAAAAAAAAAAGTCAAGGCAATGAGTAGTTCAAATGACCTTACTGTTAGAAGAGGTTACTGAAGTGCTTTCCAGAAGGTTCGTAAAATAATTCTAGGAAGTTGGTATAAGAAGAATTCTGAAGGTCTTAACCGCGG